AACCCCAACCACAAAATTGATGATCAATAAAGCATGCAAATGTCGTAATAATAATAATAATGGGGTTTAGGCTAGATTCTAGATAATTAATAATGTTTTTTTAAAAATAGAATAAGAATAAATAATGATAATATGACAATGTAAGTAGCATCAACACCAACACCAATGATAGTTATAAAAGTTGAAAAAATACATAATGTAATAATATAATATAAAAGCTATGACCAAGTCGGCGGGCACTCGTCGCAACTGTGGTTAACTTTACACTAGCGCCACTGTGGAATGCGCGCGGTTGTGTAGGGTTAATTTAGCGAGAAGCCAGCCTCGCTTCCGTCAATATGCCATTTTGCCACATTGCACTTTTATACTTGATAGAAGGTTCATAGAAAACTATAATCAAACACACCGTTTTGTATTGAAATTCAGATTTTCATTAGAATATATTTAATGTTTTCTGACTATTTTAAATATTTACAATACCAGAACACTTCTTTGAACCATTCAAGTGTTTTGATTGTTAAACAGATTTACACTGCCGCCACAGTCCTGGCAAATTCATTCAGCATCCTCGCATCCGCATATTCCGCATCCCAACGAATCTAGGCCAATGGTTCTGGACTGGTAGCGAACATCCCCACAGGAACACAGTCCGTTTCATTAACTAGAAGGATGGCGTCCCGTAAGTAACAGAGCAATAATTGTATTTTACTTTGCTTGTTTGGAGATTAACTTGTTTGTATGTTCTAATGTTTTTTCTTGTTTGACGTGCACTTCAAATTGTACCGCCTCTGCTGGGGTCCCGCCTCTCTGTCTCGCTTCCTTGTCTCGAAGCCTTGAAGAATTCAGCGCATGCATGCTTCCTGTGACTAATGCAGACTGTGAACGGATTCATACATTTAGCTCCGGAATTGTTCTTTTATGCTTTGGTATGATTTATATATTTTAAGCAAGGCTTTCAATTTCAGATAGATTTTCTGGTGACCAACGAGATTTTATATTCAGCAATGATATCATTTTTTTCATTATAATTTTGAATGGAAGCCGAATGAGACGCCGATAATGGGAGATAATCGCCAGGCTAGAGTCTGGCATCCGTCCTAGATCTAGACAAGATTGCGGCACTGAGTCACGACAAGTGAATCAGAATCTAATTTTGAATAATAAATAGCCTGCTTTTGGTTGGGCTCCCATTGTGAAATGCACCACCTCACCTGTTTTTTTATTATTTAGGCCTAATCTTTTAAAGACCACCCTTTTTTACTTCCAGGCAGTAAATTTGAGTAGATAGATCTAGATTTTATCTATCTAATCTAGATCTCTAGATCTAGATCTAGAGTCTAGATATAGATCTAAATCTAGATCCAGATCTATAGATATCTAGAAAGTGTAGTTTAGGAGGTAGTTGAGGTAAAAGTTTAGAAATCACTCTCGATCACACTGTTATTCTGAAAAAAATTTAATTTAAATACTAAAAAACCCCTCAAAGTCACAAAATAATAATTCAACCAGTAACCAGAGTTATTAGGGTCTCGGGAATACACGAAATTATTATCGCATAGAGGCCTAGATTCTAGATGTACCCTTTTCTGTTCAGGCCTGGCCAAGCAGATCTTGATCAAGTAATAGGGTCACGTGTCCTCATAATATAACTCATATTTAGATAGTTATTAGGCTAATAATACTATCATGAACATTTCCTTGTTACTAGATCTAGATCTAGCAGTTGTGTTCGTTTCAGTAGATGTTTTATGGCACTGACAACTGCATAAGGTCATATGAGCGCTAAGGGGTGGATGCCAACAGAGAAGTCCTTACAGGGAATCAGACTTAATCTGCTCACCTCTCTGGCCTCAACAGCGCAAAGTCATCTTTGACTATCAAGGCACCCCGGGAATAGTGGGTCACAAGAGTGTGACAAACATACAAAAGAAGTAGAGGGGAAAAAATGACAATAGTAAGGATTAGGAAAGAAAAAGCAGCAGTTCCCTGTTGTAGATCAGGCACAGTTATGAGCGTGACATTGATGAATCAACCCATTTACAATTCTACTGTGCATGAATATGAACGAGAAATGTCCCCCCTTTGGGAATAAAGCCTAAAGACACTTCAGTCAGTGGCACTGCCCCGGAGGGTAGCAGTTGGGTTCATTGAAAAATGGGATAACACTATATATTATAACACTGAGACTGAGTACTTTTTTGTTTTATGAGCTTTATTTTGTAGCCTAGCCTATATTTGTCAAGTTTATGGAAATGAGTCACTTTGCGCATCTGATTAGTTCCTCGTGCTTTCCTGTTCCTTGTTTGCCACCTGTTACTTATTTTTCAGTGGAAGTCGGTTTTATGGCTTGAAAAGATACAGTATTTTTTTATGCATGGAAAAAATAGACATTCTACACTTATTAAACCCTGGACAGTTAGAAACTGCCATGTTAAGATTATAACTCATAATTTTGGTGGCAAAGTGTCAGTGAAATCTTCATTGGTGTGATAGCTTGAAGTCACTTCATCTTAAAATAAAGCCAGCATGTCGATTTTTCTACAAATTCACTTGTGATGTCAATGCGACTGACTACTATTAAAAATAGGATAGTAACTGTAAGTAAAAGAAAGAGCAGAATGCTTTCAGTTAGTCGTAATAGATTCATAGAAATAAATGTTGTAAATATTAATGTGTTTTAAAAAGACAGAAAATAGCATGCTGAAATCTTACAGAGCACTCTTGCTGGAGTAATTGGATACATTTCAGTGATAAAAAGCAAGAAAAGAGAATTCCTTTGGCTTAGGTTTCACCATAGCTCAAGGAAGAAAATGCCACATTCAAATACGACAGAGTCCATTAATTAATGTATTGTATTACTGAAAGTGTCTACTTAGCTTAATAAAAAAAAAGGCTATATAGTCAGTTAATTACTGGAATGAATTGCAGAAAATGGTCAGAGGAAAAAAGTTAGAAAGGAAAACTAAAACTGTATACTTTAGTAGAATTCTAGCGAAAAAAAAAGGCGAATTAGAGAGCATTGGAACAGCACAGAAGAGAAAAGTGTGAATCACTATAGTATTCTACTGCTCTTAATTGAAGAGAGCCCTTTTGAAAATATATTTTCTGCTGTAATTGTTTTTCGTTTTTTTCTTGCTTTGGCTTTGTAGTTCTCTTCTTTTCTGACTTATCAATGTATGAATGAGTATTTAAATAAATTAAAAACTCAGTAAATCACCATAGTATAGCTAACGGCTGAAGTTCTTTTGTTGTCTTATTTTCCTATGCTTTGGGCTACTTTTCCCCACAAGAAAGATAATTTCTTTTTTTCTCCTCATTGCTTTAAATTTTAAATTTAATCTTTTCATGTCAGCAGACAAGGGTGTCTAGTACAGTATACTGCAACCCAGCCATTTGTTTGAGACTCAAAATAACCAGTGCAAATTTTTTATTACCCTTCATTCTACACTTTCCTCATGTCTCCATATTGATCCATCCCTGTTTTTGGAAATCTAAATGTATACGCACCTTCCTTTTTGCAGAATTTTTCTATATTCGTTTGCTTTAGTTTAAATAATTTGTTCAATATCACAAGAAAGCTTGATTCATAAATTTACCCATGTTCTCTTTAAGTTCAAGAAGAACATGATGTTGATTGAAATGTAACTATATAAAGAGATTCTGCTAATACACTAAATAATTGTCAGTCACAGTGCAAGAGAGTTGTCCTGTTAGTCTGTGGTGCCCACCCATACGGACACACATAAATAGCAAAGAAGAAAATATAAAAGAAAACTGGTAAAAGTCAACTCCAGCGCTCCGTTCTGAACCTACTACTTGACTGGGTCTCTGTTCTCTGTGGGGGTGAAGCAAGGGTCATCATTATGATGCCATGGGTGAAAGAAGCTTTATTTTTACTTATTTCAAGATTTCAAGAGTGTGTGTGGGAGGAGGAACTTTGAGGAAGAGCTCTGGGTCAAATGCAAGGTAGTCATCTTGTGTCAGTCAGTGTGTATTGTTAACACCCTTCTCTCCCACCGCAATGAAAAAAAAATGTGTACATGAAGTAAGATGAAATTAGAAGAAAAAAACACGCTGAGAAGAGAAGACGGGATCCCTCCTCCCCCCACCCCCACGCTCTGCCACCCGCCCGTACTAAAGCTGGAAAAAATGAAATCAAACCGATCCTGCTAGTTGTGGGCAGTGATGTGGTAAGCCTGTGAGTGAGTCGATAGCGCTAGAGCACGGCGGCGGGGACGTGTGTGGGATCATCACTGCTTCCCTTTCCATTACCTCCCCCCCCCCTTTTTTTTTACCCCAACTTTCAACCACCGCCTGGGGGCCGGTTCACGGTCGGCTGCTCGCTCGTCCCTCCTCTCGCTGCGCGCGCGCATTCCCACGTGCTCTCCGTCCTGCTCATTACGTATGACAGTAATGTGTCTGCTCCGCTCGCCTGATGCTGTTGGCTTCCGTGCATCGAGTGAGGTCACCACTTGTCTGTCTGTCTGTTTGTCTCTCGCTCCCGCTCTCACATCACATCGTCTGTCTGCCTCTGTCTGTTATTTTCTTTCTGTCTTGTTCACGCTTTTGCACTAGCTGTCTCTAGTCTTTCTCTCTATCCCCTTTCTTTCTTTCTTTCTTTCCTTCTTTCTTTCTTTCTTTCTTTCTTTCTTTCCCTTATGCTTTCACTCGCACTCTCCTCCCCTCTCTTTGTGTTTACCGTACGCACGTGTGTGAACTTTAATATATGTGGTTATCTATTATCTGTGATGAAAGTGGCCTGTTATTAGAGAAGCAAATCGTCGTGGTCTGTCGATTGTTTATGACCAAAATGGCAACAACGACAACAGGGACAAGAGTCCCACGTTCGGATTGGCTCAATGTATACATTTTATACTTCACGTTTGTTTGTTCCATAAAAAAAATGGCACTTAGATCCTCCGCAACCTCTTGATTCTTTCTCTTTCCCACTGTTTCTCCTCTGTCGTTTTTCACTATCTGTCTGTCTCCTTTTCTTTTCTCCTCATCTCTGGTAATTTCTATCTGTATGACTTTTTGTCACTCTCTCCTCCCCTCCCTACTTCTTTCTCTCTTTCTCTCTCATCTCTCTCTCTCTCTCTCTCTCTACCCCTGTCTCTCTCCTGATCTGTGTACCCATTCACTCATTCTCTGTATGAGTAGCTGGCGTACCCAGACATGTATTGCTGACGTTATCCTCATGTTTTGTCTTATCCGTTGCTGGCCCGGCAGCTCTTCTCACGACGTGCACTCACCAACATGCACGCACACACGGACTCGCAACAAGACAAACGCATGTTGTTACACACTAATCCGCGCACACTATCGTGCACGCACGCCATTTCTGACTCTCTCTCTCTCTCTCTCTTTCTCTCTGTCTGTCTGTCTGTCACTGTCTCTGTCTCTCTGAGTCTCTCTCTCTTTGTTTCTTTTTTTCTTTCCCCCCTCCTCTTCCCCTCTCTCTATCTCACTCTGTCACACACACACGCACGCATGCACACACATGCACTGTATGTATACACACACACACACTCTCAGCTGTCTTTCGCTCCAACCTACCAATTCCCTGTGACTTTATACAAGGAAAGACTAGACTGATTTGTGCCGTCAGGGGAAAAAAGAACCACCACCAAGTGCTCCCACACTCGTCCCTAAACTGGGTAATGGCGACCCTCCTCGACA